CCCCGCGGCGCGCCGCCGCCCGGAGCCCGGCCGCCATGAAGCAGCTGTGCTTGTGCGCCGCCGCCTCCTTAGCGGTAGGGCCTGGGAGGGGGCGCGGGAGGGGGCGCGCGGGGCCTCCTCCCCGGGCCGCCCTGGCCTAGACCCCCAGGCCCTGGAAGGATGGGTGTTTGCGGGGGTAGGGGTCGGGGAGACAGAGGTTGGGGGCAGCTTTGGGAGGCTGGACGGGATTTTGGGAGAGACTCATGGGGATGTTTGGGCAGACAATTTTAAAGACAGACGGGGGTCATTTAGGAGAATTTAGAGAACACTGAGGGGCAGTTTTGGGAAACAGGTTTGGAGACAGGTGGGGTCATTTGGGGGAACGGTTTGGAGGCTCTTTTGGTGGACAGTTTTTGGGAGAAGATATTGACATTGGAAGACAATTTCAAAGAACATTTGCAAGATTCTTTTGGAAGATATTTCAGGGCACAGTTTTTGGGAAAAGAGACTGCCGTTTGGAGAGCAATTTCAGAGAGCACTTGCCGAATGCGGTTGGAGGGCATTTTGGGGGACAGTTCTTCAGGCAGAATGGGCTCATTTAAGGGGATGATTTTGGAGAACATTTCAGGAATTTGAGGCGAGATTTTGGAATGAATTTCAGGCCGTTTCAGGGGACAGGTCTTGGGACTTGGAGGACAGTTGTGGCATTTCAGGGGGCAAGCATGGAAGGAAGGATGACAGGACAGTTCTGTGAGACATCGAAAAGGACCCTTTTTAGGGGTTCAGATGGGGAGACTTTGGAGGGTAATTTGGAGACACAGTTTGAAGGGGTGATGTTGAAAAGGCGACTTTTCACTAAGGGACAGGCTGGGGCCTAGGTACGGGGACAACTCTTTGGAAAGCGAGGCTGGGGCGGATCAGGGCATGGGAGGGTGCTGGCAGGGGGTGGACAGCTGGGGTGATGGACCTGGGGTCAGATGCCAGGGTGGGGGGAGCCGCAGGCTTGGGGACACTGTCTCAGGCCCCCGCCCAGGACCACCTCCCCTGCAGCTGCGGCTCAGCCCCACCGAGCTCGGCTCTTGCCCGCCCTGCGGCCCCTGCCCCATCCCGAAGCTGGCGGCCAGAGGCAGGCGCCAGGCAAGTGCCCAGGGGTGGGCGCCGAGAGCCTGGAGCCCCTGCCCGGGGGAGGGGGTCGGGGCAGCGGCTGACCCAGGCCCACGCGCCTCTGGGTGTGCCCTGCAGAGCCAGGACTGGAGCAAAAGTGACGAGCGACTCCTGCAGGCCGTGGAGAACAACGATGCAACGCGGGTGGTCGTCCTCATTGCCCGCAAGGGGCTGGTGCCCACGAAGCTGGACCCTGCGGGCAAGTCCGCGTGAGTGCCCACCCCCTGGACAACCAGATGGCTGAGGGGTGGCGGCAACCCTGTGGCTGACCCTTGACCTCTGACCTCCAGGTTCCACCTGGCGGCCATGAGGGGTGCAGCCAGCTGTCTGGAGGTGATGCTGGCACAGGGTGCCAATGTCATGAGCACGGATGGGGCAGGTACTACCCTCTGGGACCCAGGTGGTGGGGGAGGAACTCAGACCAGGTGCCCCAGGGTCCAGCCAGGCCCTGCTGAGAAAGAGGGGCTCCCTTCCCTGCCCCTTCACTGGCCCCAGGGAGCCTCAGGGGCATGTGGGGCTGCTGTGCCCAAGCCAGGTAAGTCGACTATTTGTGAATGGCCGTAAATATGGGGAGTAACTGGGACTCAGGCAGTGGTTGAGTCAGAGGAAGTAGCTAGACAGGGGAGTATCTGGGGCCTGGGGAAGTTTCTGAGGCTCAGGAGAGTAACTGGGACCTGGGATCAAGGAAGCGACTCAGGTGGCACCCGGGGCTGTGGGGACAGCTGGGATAATGGGAGAAACTGGGACCTGAGGTGCATCTGGGGTGTAGAAGTAGTTGGGGTCAAGGGAGTTACTGGAACACAGGAAGTACCTGGAATGTGGGGGAGAAGCTAGACTCCTGGGAGTATCTGAGCTTAGGAAGTATCTAGGGTTATGAGAATAGTAGGTAGTGCTTGAGGAATATCTGAGGTGCGTGAATAGCTGGGGTTCAGAGGTAGCTGGAGCTCTGGGAGTAGCTGAGACAAAAGGAGAATCTGGATGTATGACTTCACCAGGGACCTGAGGGAATTACTGAGATAGAATGAACGGCCAAAAGGAGTAGTTAGGGCTTAGTGGTTAGCTAGGTCTGGGGCATAGTCAGATCTGAAGTTTAGACATAGTAGGCATAGTAGCCGAGAGTTATGGAGTAGCTGGGGATTTGTAGAGTAACAAAGACAGGGACAGAGCTGGCACGTGGAATAGCAAGGGTATATACATTAAACCTGTTGCTGCTCAGTTGTTTCCAACTCATAGCGCCCCTAGAGGACAGAGTAGAACTGCACCAGAGGGTTTCCAAAGCTGTGATCTTTGCAGAAGCTGACTGCCACGTCTTTCTCCTAAAGAGTGGCTGGTGGGTTTGAACTGCCAACTTTTGGTTAGTAGCCACTGCGCCACCAGGGTTTCTTGGTATATAAGATTAGCAGGAGCATATAGAGTAACTGTGGGTTGTGGTGGGCATAGCTGGAGCTTGGGTGTAGTTGAGCATATGAAGTAGCTGGGGACGTGAGGATTAACTGGGGCAATAGGGCTTGAGAAGTAGGTAGGTGTGGAGTGTAGCTGAGATGGGATTGTCTGGGATACAGACTAGCTGTGGCTTGGAGAGTCTTCAGCCACAAGAGGTAGCGAGGTTTTGAAAAGCACTTGGGTTTTGGGGAATTGCCAGACACAGGGAAACGCATCATAAATATTTGACACAGGCTTGGGGAGCAGCTGGGAACTCCTTGAGTATCTGGTGCTCCAGTAAGTCTTCTCTCCTTTTAGGTTACAATGCCCTCCACCTGGCCGCCAAGTATGGGCACCCACAGTGCTTGAAGCAACTGCTACAGGTCATTAGCTTTCTGATCTCAGATACTCCCCAAATCTCAGATACTCCCTAGGCCCCCACTACTCCTGAGTTTCCAGCAATTCCCTGAACCCCTAGATACTCCCTGAACCCTAGATATTCCTTGATCTCCTTTTACTCTTGAGCCCCAGCTACTCCCTGAACAACCAGATACTCCTCAAGTGTCCAGCTACTTCCCACACCCAAGATATACTCCCAAGACCAGATACTTTCTGAGCCCCAGTGTCTCCCCAAACCCTAACTACTTTCTTAGTCACAGCCCCTCTCAGAGCTCTCAGCTACTCCCCAAATGCCCAGCTGCTTCTGCGCCCCCAGCTATTCCCTCTTGCTCACCAATGCCCATGAAAACAAAGAGGGTCACTTGGGAGCCCAAGAGGAGATGGACTCCACAGAGCGGAGGAGAGTAGGAAGGGGCGAGGCAAGGAGTCCGAAATACAGCTGAGCCCAGGGTGGAGGGGGGGTCCTAGAGAAATCAGGCAGCCAGGAGGTACGGCCCCACCTCCACTGAGCCGCCCTCTCCCCAGGCCCCCTGTGTGGTGGACGCCGTGGACAGCAGTGGGTGGACGGCCCTACATCACGCAGGTGGGTGCAGCTTGGCCCTGCCCTGCCCACCACAGCCCAGAGGGGGCCAGGCTTGGGGGTTATTCTGCCTGGGCCCTGGGGACCTACTGTGAACCTTCCTGCCTCCTCCTTCTCCTTTTTCAACAAGCACCTACTGTGTGCCAAGTACTGAGGCTCAGCATTAATCCTCACAGTGACCTCTCAAGCCACGGACTATTACCCCATTGGATGGACGGGGGCACCCAGGTCAACTGACCCCAAAGTGCAGCCTACTATGTGCCAGACCTGTCTGAGAACAATGGGGGTGACCTTGAGTCATGGTTCCTTTGAGGAACTAGGGAATCTTGGATGGCAAAGGTTGGGCAGCCAGCCCTTCGTAATCATCAAATCCAAACTCCTTCCTGGAGAGAGGGGCAGGGACCCACTCGGTCAAGCCAGAACCCAGCCCAAGGTCTGCCCACCACGCCCATAAGATTCGCATGACTTTCACTTCTGACTCAAGAAACATCTGTTCTTTTGAAAGCAATAAATTTGAGTTTGCTTTGGTGTTTTAGTCACGTTTAAAAGTGCTCTGCAGTTAGAGTACGCTGCCACCTAGTGGCGGCAATGCCTTTATTACATGATGGAAGCTCTTGGGTTTATTCATTCAACAATTATTTGCTGAGTGTCTGCTATCTGCCAGGCCCTGTTCAAAGCGTTGAAGATACAGCAGCAAACAAAACCCCATGACCTCTTGGTCACACAGCAGGTATTCAGCGTTTGTTGACTGAAAAATAGATTCTTGTGCTTTGTCAGACTGTACTGCAATATTCTGGGATTCAAACCCAGGGGATTCCAGAGGCCATGCTCTTATCTAGACTGGACAGTCTCCTGGGGAGCTTCCTTGCCTTCATTGACCCATTCACACAACAGCCAGAGGGATCTCTTCTAGACTGGACAGTCTCCTGGGGAGCTTCCTTGCCTTCATTGACCCGTTCACACAACAGCCAGAGGGATCTCTTAAAATAAATCTCTTAAAGTCATCTTAAATAGATGACGTCACTTGACTGCTTAAAACTGTCCCCTGGCTCACTGTTGCCCTCCTTCAAGGACCCGCAGGGTCTGGCCCTGCTGACTTCTCAGTGGCACCTTGCGCCATGCCCCCCTTCCCTCTTTGAGGCTCTGGACATACACATTTCCTCCCACTTCCTTGACCTTACCGCACTCTTTCCTACCTCAGGGCCTTTGCACATGCAGTTCCCTCTGCCTGACTCTTCCCTCCCCCTTTTCACCTTCAAAACTCAGCACTCAGATCAAACTCCGAGAAGCCTGCTCAACCCACCTAAGGTCAGATCTCTCGGGTAAAGTTTCTTAACAGTCTCTGTATGAGGGTTTGGCACCTAGTGGGTACACTGTGGAGTCCCTGGTGGCGCAAATGATTAAGCACTGGGCTACTAACCAAAAGGTTGGTGGTTAGAACCCACCCAGAGACGCATAAGAAAAAAGGCCTGGTGATCTGCTTCTGAAAGATCACAGCCATGAAAACCCTCTGGAGTGCAGTTCCACTCTGAAACACATGGGGTCGCCATGAGCCAGAATCGACTCAACAGCAAATGGTTAGGCACACAGTTTAAGTGCTGTTTGGATCAAAGAGGGGAAATGCATGAAAATCAGTTAAAGTTCTACCTTAAGAGGGAATCAGGGTCAAACGTGGAAGGAGCTTGGCATTGGGAGTCAGGAGACCAGGGTCCTAAACGTGACCCTATCTCTGACCCCACTGGGTGACCATGGGCCTGGGAATCATGCCTTTATTATTGATCTCCCAGGGGAGGTGGAGATTTCTCATGAAATAAAGGATAAGAATCACAACCCAGCAGAAGGCCCCCAGAAAATGTCTAAGCTTTGACCTATCTACTCTCCTTTTCTCTTTTACCAGTGGCTGGCGGCTGCCTCTCCTGCTCAGAATTGCTCTGCTCCTTTAAAGCACATCTGAACCCTCGAGATCGGGTGAGCCTCTGGGACCTTTTTGGGAAAGATACGGCACTTGCCGTATGCTGCCACTAAGTGGCAGCATCCCAGGCACTCTTTGCAAAGCGTGAGAAAGTTTGGAGTGACGCTCAGGGGCAGCCATATAGGTGTCATCACCTCCCAGGGTCAGCCTTTCATTCCCCCATTTCAGCCCTTCTTCCCCATCAGTCAGGTGCAACGCCCCTCATCATAGCGGCTCAGATGTGTCACGCGGATCTGTGCCGCCTCCTCCTGCAGCAAGGCGCTGCCGTGAATGACCAGGACCTGCAGGGCAGGTCAGTATCTTCCCTCCTGACCCATCTACCTTGTGCTGTGTGACTTTGGGCAAGTTTCTTAACCTCTCTGGTTAAAGGTGTGGGGGTTTGGGGATGTCCTCACCCCCTCAGTAACTCCCTACCCCAGTAGGACAGCCCTGATGCTGGCTTGTGAAGGGGCCAGCCCCGAAACAGTGGAGGCGCTGCTACAGGGCGGGGCCCAGCTTGGCATCACCGACTCGCTGGGCCAGGACGCAGCTCACTACGGCGCACTCGCGGGGGACAAACTCATCCTGCACCTCCTGCAAGAAGCAGCCCAGCGCCCCTCACCACCCAGCGGTATGCAGGCTCTGCTTTTGGGCAATGTCAAGTACCCCCATCTTCTAGGCAGGTGCATGCCACCCCCCTTCCGCCCTGTTGTAGACAGTTTTGAGGTGCCTCCTAATTGCTGCATTACACGGGCTCTGTGGCCCCTTTAACCCTGCTCAGGACAGTTTCAAGGAGCCCCAGAGCATTCAGGCTAGTGTGGGGTCTACTCTGTTGTTTTTTTTTTTTTTTTAATTGTGCTTTAAGTGAGAGTTTGCAGTTCAAGTCAGTTTCCCATACAAAAATTTATACACACATTGCTATGTGACCCTAGCTGCTCTCCCTATACTGTGACAGCACACTCCTCCTTTCCACCACGAATTCCCCGTGTCCATTCACCCAGCTCCTGACCCCCTCTGCCTTCTCATCTCCCCTCCGGACAGGAGCTGCCCATTTAGTTTCCTGTATCTACTTGAGCTGAGAAGCACACTCTTCACATTTTATGTCCCATAGTCCAGTCTAATCTTTGCCTGAAGAATTGGCTTTGGAAATGGTTTCAGTTCTGGGCTAACGGAGAGCCTGGGGGCCATGTCTTCCAGGGTCCCTCCAGTCTCAGTCAGACCATTAAGTCTGGTCTTTTTACTAGAATTTGAGTTCTGCCCCCACTTTCCTCCTGCTCCATCAGGGATGCTCTGCTGGGGATCCACTCTGTTTTAATGGGTCATCCTTAACCCTGGCTCTTTGCCTTCCCAAGAATTGGCACCACCCACCCCAGTCTGGAGATGCTACTGTCCTCTCCTTTTTGAGAGTTTCCAAGTCCCTCCTTCCAGCATTCTGACAAAGTGGTGAAGTCCTATCTTAAAAGTCCTGATTGTCAGGGAATTTGGAGGCCCCCACAAGTCCCCCGGGCCTGCTAATGCCCACCCTGGGACTGAGAATGGGGTCCCCAGAACAGAGTGCCTGATCCTGCTTCCCTGTCTCCCCTCCCTCCCAGGGGACGACTCAAGCGAGGCCTCATCTCAGGTATGGACCCCTAAACAGTTAGCGAGTCCCCCCCATACACACGCTACCCCCTACCCCTCCGAGCTTCATGGAAAGAGAAGGAAGAGATGAATCCCAGCCCCAGGGTTATGATACCCTGGAGGACCTGTTTGGAAAGAATGCTACCTTCAGGGTACGCTGCCACCAGGTGGCAGCAGCATCCACAGCATCATTCCCAGAAATGGGTGAGAATACTGGGAAATCATAGCGCTGGGGTGGAGTGATGGAGGGGACTGAGACTGGTGAGGGCTGGAGTAATCAAGGAAGCCTTTCTGGAGGAGGCAGGCCTGGCCTCTTTTCCCTCTCCCAGCTCAGCAGCACCTCAGCTCCACAGGGAAAGGAAACTCGTAGACAATTGGTCCAGCTGGGGAAAGAACCAAGGCACAGAGAGGGGCAGAGAGTGAAGAGTAAGATCCGGAACACTCAGGGAATGTTGTCTTGCCTCCTTTTATCCTGGGATAATTGAGGCTGAGAAAAGAAGGGACTTGCTTGGGGTCACGCAGGAAGGCAGGGTGGAGCTGGGGCTCGCTGAGCTGTTTTATTTGGGTGGGAGGCTGGCAGGTCCCCCATGTGTCCCCCTTCACCCCATCAGAACTCTGTGTCCAGCCGTGAGAAGCCAGGGGCCTCCAAGAAGCGGAAGGCGCCTCAGCCCCCCGCCAGCATCCCTATGCCGGTGAGAAATGCGCGGGCATGCGGGGAACACTGGTGCACCCCAGGGAGGGGAAGGAGGGAACTCTGGCTTAGGTGTGTGGGGACAGCTCTTTGGCCTCATTTAAAGGTGGTGGGTCCCTGGGGCGGGGGGACAGGATGACAGAGATGCCTACGAGGAGATCGTGCGGCTGCGGCAGGAGAGGGGCCGCCTGCTGCAGAAGATCAGGGGCCTGGAGCAGCACCAGGAGCGGAGGAAGCAGGAGGTGAGGGGCAGCCTGGGGCCAAGCCTGGGGCCGGGTGCAATTCTGGGGGTAAGGCTCCCCCCGCCTTTTTTTACCTGCCCTCCTCTCTACCCCTGGCTCACTCCGCTCCAGCCACAAGGGCCTGCTCGCTGCCCTTCCAACTCGCCAGGTACAATCCTGCCTCAGGGCCTTTGCACAGGCTGTTCCCTCTGCCTGGAATGCTCTTCCCCCGGAGACTCACCTGGCTTCTCCCTCCCCTCCTTCAGCTCTTTGCTCCAAAGGCCCCTTCTCAGAGAGACCTCCCCTGCCACCTTAATTTGAATTGTAACCCCCTCACTTCCAAGCCCCTTTCATTTTTATTCATAGCACGCGTCGCCATGGGGCATAGAATATATTTTATCCGCGGTCTCCCATGTGACTGTAAGCCCAAGAGGGCAGGCGTGGTTGACGGTGCCTGGCTCACAGTAGGGTTTGATAAACGTTTATCAGATGAATGAATATTTGAATGAGTGAGTGAACGAATGAATTAATGGACAAAAACAGAGTCTGGCATAGTTGGCACTTGATAAATACAGTCGATTGTCATTATTCATGTTCTATAAAGTCCCTGCAAATACTAAATTAGTAAATAACGAACCAGCCTTGTTCAGCTTCAACTGGGAACGTGCCGTCAGGCAACTCAAAATTTTCGCTACTCTGCGCATGATCATGGCTGCGAGCAAGTGCAGAAGCTCCGCACGTATTGATTTGGGGGTTACAGATAAATTTTAGCACATACAGAATCCACAAATAATGAGGATTGACTGTACTTAGTAATGATAGTGTGTGTGGTACACAGTAGGCGCTCAATCAATACTTGGTAATGAGTGAGTGGGCAGAATTATGCCTGGCACACAGTAGGCACTCACTGAATACTTGGTAATGAGTGAGTGGACAGAATAGTGTGGCACACAGCAGGCACTCAGTAAATACTTAGTAATCAGTGTGTGGGCAGAATAGCGCCTGGCGCACGGTAGGTGCTCAATAAATTCCTATGGGACAAGTGAGTGGGTGGAGCAGTACCCCGTGTGCCGTCGGTGCTCAGTGGGCACGTGTGCATGGAATGGAGGGTTGCTAAGCAGGAGGCGGGCAGGGACACCGCAAGCCCAGAATCCCACCCTCGTCCCCCTTCTCCTATCGACTGCAGGAGCCTGAGGCCAGCTCCCTCCACAGCCTGGAGAGACAGGTAGGTGGGGAAGGTGGGGGAGGAACGGGCGCCCCAGGCTGCCCAGTGATCCCCCCTGCGGGGTGCTCCTCCCAGAGGCCGGCTCAGTCCCCCACTGCTCTTCCAGGTGCAGGAGCTGCAGCAGCTGCTGGCGGAGAAGCAGGAGGAGAAGGAAAGCCTGGGCCGCGAGGTGGAGAGCCTGCAGAGCCGGCTGTCCCTGCTGGAGGTGGGCCTGTGGGGAGCGGGGGGCCAGGGAAGGGACGAGGGGCCAGGCGGGGCTCGGGGGGCCAGGCAGGAACCCCTCCCCTGCTGTGATTGCCTGACAAATGCACTGACACACAGTCTCACGCATGCAAACACACACACACAGCAGACAGACGTACTCAAACACACAATCCCATGCAGACAACACACTCACTCACAAATCCATGCACACGTGTATACAACAAACACCTCTCCCAGCCCACAGTCACGCCCTCCTGTACGCCAAGAGGTTGACAACCACACTCGTGCCAACACAACAGACACACGTCCTCAAACGCACAGTCACACACTGACGGCACACCCACCAATACATATGCGGCACACGTGGGCACTTCCCAAACCACACGAGAAGAGGGGGACAGGACCCTGAGCCGGACTCTGTCCCCGCCCCCAGAATGAGCGGGAGAACACCAGCTATGATGTGGCCACCCTGCAGGACGAGGAGGGGGAGCTGCCTGACTTCCTGGGTGAGCCCCCTACTCCCATCTTTCCCGCCCACTGGGGTCCAGAGCTACCCTTGCCCCCCTGTCCTGGGGTCCTGGGAGACAGTGCCTGAGCCCGAAGGTGTGGAGAGTACTTGAAGCTGGGATGGAGGTTGGCACTCACTTGTTACTCATTCCGTCACCTGAGCCTACCGTGGGGACCACCATGGCGACCCCCAGCTCCTCCCCCTGGGGCCCTGGGGCCTGATTCTGCGCCCTCCTCCAGGAGCTGAGGCGCTGCTCTCCAAGCAGCTGAGCCCGTCGGCCCAGGACCTCCTGGCCTCGCTGCAGGACCAGGTGGCCATGCTCACCAGACAGAACCAGGAGCTGATGGAGAAAATCCAGGTGGGGAAAGTGAGGCACAGGAGCTCTAACAACCTGGGGGTTTAGTCCCTGGGCTCTGGGCGGGTGTGTGGCCGGGTCTGGGGGCCAGGATGGGCAGGCCATCTTGCATCTTCACGGCCACTTCAGCGGCTGCCTGACTGTCTCCCTCCCTGCCCGTCAGATCCTGGAGAACTTTGAGAAGGATGAGGTGGAGGCGAATGACTTGGCCGAGGTCATCCCTCTGGTCCTCTACGACGCTCTCCGGGCAGAGTTTGACCAGCTCCACAGGCAGCACGCCGAAGCCCTGCGGGCGCTGGAGCAACGGGATGCCCAGGAGGCCTCTGGAGAGGAGGCGGTGGCCGAGGGGGCGGGCAAGGGTCGAGGAGTCAGGACCACCAAGAACGGGGCAACAAACACAGAGGTGAACGGTGCTGCAGCTCTGGAATCCAAAGTGAAGGGAGCAGGGACCACGGACGAGGAGCCTGCGGGGGCCAAAACCACAGAGGCCAGGGCTTTGGAAACAGCATCCACAGGGGCCGAGGCCACGGGAGCCACGGCCACAGAAACAGAGGGCTCAGGAGCTGCAGCTGTGGAAGCAAAGGCAGCCACGGGGGCCGAGGTCACAGAAGTGAAGGCTCCAGAAGAGGCAGAAATCACAGAGACAAAGGCCACAAGAGCTGAGGCCGCTGGTGTGGAGGCCACAAAGCTGAAAGCAGAGGAATCAGAGATGAAGGCCAGTGGATTGGGTGCCATGGAGGCAGAGCTCACAGGCACAGAGAACACGGATATGGAGGCCACGGGGGTGGAGGCCACGGCCCTGGGAGTCCCTGTTGGCCCCATCCTGCATCCAGGTGCAGCTGAGGCGTCGGAGAAGCTGCAAGCAGAGCTGGATACCAGGATCCGTGGCCTGGAGGAGGCGCTCCGGCAGCGGGAGCGGGAGGCAGCGGCTGAGCTGGAGGCAGCCCGTGGCAAGTGTGAGGCTGCAGAAGCCGAGGCGGGCCGGCTGCGGGAGCAGATGCGCGAGGCCAAGGGTGGCGGGGGCAGTGACAGCAGCGGGGGCAACACGGTCCAGCTGCGGGCAGCCCTGGAGCAGGCCCGGGAGGACCTCCGGGACCGGGACTCTCGCCTCCGGGAGCTGGAGGCGGCCTCAGCCTGGCTGGACGAGTCCCGAGCCGGCCGGCTGCTGGCTGAGGAGGAGGCCCGGGGCCTGCGGGCCGAGCTGGCCCAGCAGGAGGAGATGCGGCTGGAGCAGAGCCGGGAGCTGGAGGTGCTTCGGGAGCAACTGGCCACTGCCACGGCCTCTGAGGAGCAGCAGCGGGCAGCAGCCGCCGACCTGAGCCAGGCTCGGGACGCGGCCGAGGCTCGGGCCACTGAACTGGCCGCAGCCTGCGAGGAGGCCCGACAGAGCCTAGCAGAGCTGCGTGAGGCCTCCGAGGCTCTCCGCCAGTCCTCTGTGCCGGCCTCCGAGCACCACCGGCTGCAGGAGGAGGCCCTGGAGCTGCGAGGCCGGGCAGCCAGCCTGGAGCAGGAGGTGGTGGCCACGGGCAAGGAGGCGGCCCGGCTCCGGGCAGAGCTGGAGCGTGAGCGTGTGGGCAGCGTGGCACTCTTGGAGCATGAGCGCATAGTGGGTGCGCTGCAGGCCGATGTGGCACGGCTGGAGGGGCAGCTGGAGGAGCTGGGACGACGCCACGAGAAGACCAGTGCTGAGGTCTTCCAGGTGAGCATGAGCAGACCCCCACTAGGCTCACTCGGGGCCAGTTTTGACCCTGCAGCCATGGAACATTTCGACCCCATCAGTTTTAACTCAGCAATTGACCCTGCAGCCAGACTGACCTCCTGAATGTTTCAACTTGTGTTTTGTTTTGTTTTGTTTTGTTTTAAAACCTTTTGGCTATTCGGACCCTATCTTTTTTTCTTTTAATGGTTTGTTTACAAAAACTTTGCATTTCCCAAGGTCATGAAAATAGTCCCCTATATTTTCTTCTGGTAGGTCTGTGTGTATGGTGTGAGGTAGGGGATCAGGTTCCAGTCCTTTTTTGTAAGCAGTGGATTGGTTTTTTGGCTCTGATGTTTTTACCTAACAGACATTTTGTCTGGTGGTCATTTTGACCCCATAGTTTTGACCTTGTTTTAATCTTCTAATCTTTTTTGAGCCTTCAAACATTCTGCAGGGAGGACACTGTGACTACAGATTTTTGATCTCAGTATTTTTAACCTGGTGAGCTTTGATGCTTTTTTAAATTTTTTTTGGTAAGTGCAGAGAATATTTTTTGACCCTGATGATGAACTTTTTGGACTCCATCTCTCTTCTCAAAAACAAAAAAAACGGCAGTTGTTTTAACAAACATATGAACATTCATTAATTGTTGTCATGGAAGCGTTTTTCTCTCTGGGTTTCTGCTTACTTATCTGTACAGTGGAGATAGGCACGCTGGTGGGGCAGCGGTTAAATGCTTGGCTCCTTATCCAAAGGTTCGCGCTTTGAACCCACCCAGCCGCTTTGTGCTGGGTGAAAGACCTGGCGATCTGCTCCCGTAAAGATTACAGCCTAAAAAACCCTGTGGGGCAGTTCAAGTCTGTCACATGAGGTCGCTATGAATCAAAACCAACTCAACAGCACCAAACAGCAACACATTGGAGATGATAATGGTTCCTAATTCTCGTGGGAGGATGAAATGGGCTAATTACTATACGCTATTTAGGACAGTGCCTGGTACATCATAAGTGCTCAGTAAATGCTAGCCAGAATAACTGTTTTTCCAAGGACATACCCTTTTAACCAGTTAAACCCTTGGTCTAATCCCTACAGTTCATGGTCCAACCTATTTCTTCCCATCTTCATGTTATTTTCTAAGATTTACCTTCCTCATCATCACTTCTTTTTTGGGGTAAATTTTATAAGTCTGATTTGATTCATCGATCAGTTTAGGTTTTTAAGTGTTCTAATTATTCATATAAGGAGCACTGGTGGCGCAGTGGTTAAGCACTCAGCTGCTAACCAAAAGGTTGGTGGTTTGACCCACCAGCTGCTCCGAGGGAGAAAGATGGGGCAATCAGCTTCTGTAGAGATTACAGCCTCGGAAACCCTATGCGGAAGTTCTACTCTGTCCTATAAGGTCACCGTGCGTCAAAAGCGACTTGATGGGCAATGGGAATTGTTAATAAGTAGCCAATCTGCACTAACTGGAAAATATAGTTATTATCTCTTTTCCCCTGGAGCTATTATTTCTATCAAGCCCAGTTTTCCCCCAGGATCAAATTTTGCAAACTTAACATTGCTCCAATCTTGATATTTTTGCAAAAATGCAGTCATCAACTTTTTGACAGTCATTTGCTTTTCATCCATTTCTTCCATTTTGTAAGAAATCTACAAACCTTTACACCTCTGGCAGGGAAAAATCATTGGTGATAGCAATAATAAATAATAACAATGACAATAATATCACCAATCCGAATATAGCTCTTACTACCTGCCAGGCACTGTTCTAAGCACATTCCATGTATTTGTTCATTTTATCTCACAACCACCGTAGGAAGTAGGGGGCTATTAGTATTCCCATTTTACAGATGAGGAAACTGAGTCAGAGAGAGATTAAGTCACTTGCCCAAGGCCACACAGCTGGCAGGCTGTAAGTGTATGGCAGGGTCATATGTTCCCAGTAGCAAGGGAAATCCAGAACTCTCATGGGTGAAACCACTTCAGGTCATTACTGAGTCTTGGGGTCAAACTGGTGGGATTTGAATGTCCTTGGGCCAAAACAGAAGGATTGGAAGAGCCAATGAGTTCAAGCATCTTTGGAGTCCACATGCCCTGAGGGTCCAGTCATCTTCAGCATTCAAATGTCCTTGGGGTCCAAATGTCCTCAGAGTCACACGTGGGCTTGGGCCGCAGGTGCAGCGGGAGGCACTGTTCATGAAGAGTGAGCGGCATGCAGCCGAGGCCCAGTTGGCCACAGTGGAGCAGCAGCTGCGGGGACTGCGTACTGAGGCCGAGAGGGCACGCCAGGCCCAGAGCCGTGCCCAGGAGGCCCTGGACAAGGCCAAAGAGAAGGACAAGAAGGTGGGTGCCCCCCTTCCGTGCTCAGGCCAGAGGGCCCCGCTCAGCTCTAAGACTATCCCACCTAGGAGGGGCTTCGGAAATCAGCCCATTTTGCAGATGGGAGACTGAGGCACAGAGAAGGGAGGGGCCTTAGCTGCAGCCACTGAGCTAGTCTGGCACACGGGTTATTGTTCCAGCTACACGTTATAACCACAGTAGCATTTATTGAGCGTTGACTGCAAGCCAGGCCACGTGCCACGCACTTAAAGCCACCTCAACACATTAAGATAGTAACACGTTAATGAATGGGCATGGCTTGTGCCAATAAAACTTTATTTAAAAGCCAGTTGCCATTGTCAAGTTGACTCCAACTCATGGTGACCCCGTGTGTGTCAGAGTAGAACTGTGATCCATAGGTGGTTTTCAGTGGCTCATTTTCCGGTTTCACTCATTAATCTTCACATCAAGTTCCCATAAAATAGGTGATTTTATTATCCCTATTTGAGGATAAGACTGAGACACAGAGAAGTGAAGCCACTTGCCCAGGGTCACACAGCCATGCAATATTTCCGCCAGGATTTGAAGTTCCTAAGTCATGTTCTTGACGATGATGGTAGTGATGGTGGTAGTGATGATGATGATGGTGATGGTGATGGTGATTGATGGTGATGGTGATGGTGATGGTGAT